TAATATGGCCACCCATCCACGGCTGCTCCTCCAAGCGCAAGGGAGTCCGCCACCTGGGCTCAAAGGGGTTCTGGTTAGGAAGCCCGATGCCTAGGAGATCTCTCCTGGGCCTCTTTTGCTTTCTGACTGCGAGGCTCTCGGGTGTCTCGTGCCAGAAGCGTTTGCTGTGTTGCCAAGGGTACGGCGGCAAATTGGCCAAAGACCGGGCGCCCCGGTGGTCAGGGTCTTCGTTGACCTTCAGCAGATCGACATTATGGCCAGTGGCCCATAGTAGACCCGCAGCCTCGAGCGAGGTAGACATGGCGTTCTTGTTTCTCTTGAGCATGGAAGTGTATGTCAGGTCCGATGAGAGCTTCGAATTGACAGCCTTCGTGATCTGGTCCAGCGGTCCTTGGAGCGTTCCCGCAGGGCCAATCTCAACGAAACCGGTCCATCGCACCGGGACCTTCCTCTGTCTTCGTGCGGCGTTGGCTCCCTCCACAAGAGCGGAGTGAGTGAGCAATGCCTCCACGGCACCCTTGAAAAGTACGGGTGAGACCATGTTCTTGACCCAGTAGGCAGCGCTCAGCTGTGACGGGCTCGCCAAGACCTCCTCCGTAACTGAAGAGAACATTGGCGCTGTGAATTGATCCTTCAGCTCCAGCTTACCCATGGATGCCAAGAAGTCGTCCGCGATGACCTCCATGTGTGCCGAGTGGTACGCCATCTTCACGCGGAGCTTCCTCGCGAACTTCTCCCTTTTCTGAAGCGCAGCCTCAAGCTTGACGATAGCGTCCTCATCGCCCGAGATGGTTACGCTCGAGGGACTGTTGATGCAGGCCACCGTAGCGATCTGTTCAGGGGAAGAGAACTCCTCTACGACTGACTGCGCCTCGTCGGCGGTCAGGCCCGCAGCTAGCATGGTGCCCCGGCGACCTCCGAGACGGCGCTGGATCTCCTCTACGTAAAGACCGCGAAAGTAAGCAATTTTAATGGCGCTGGCATGGGATATTCCGCCTGCAGCATAAGCAGCCGCTGTTTGTACACACATGTCAGCATGAAGTCGCATTATCATTCAGTGTGGGATACTTACCAATCTCACCACTAGAGTGCCCAACAGTTCCTTTAGCCGTCAAACCCCAGTGACCAAGTAAGTCGACCAGGGCAACCTGCAACACAGTGCAGATGGGCTGACAGAACTCGGGGATGTCCAATCTGGAGCCATCCGCGTCGCATAATAGCTCAATCGCGTTCCACTTACATCTGAGTGCGTCAAGGTACGCCTGTGATCTGAGAACGCTCTCCTTGAATGCAGGAACATCAAGCAACTCCCTCCCCATAGTCGCCCATTGCGCACCTTGCCCGGTGAACACAAAGGCCAGCGTCCCGTTCTTTGCCGAACGCTTCAGTGTCGCCGGCGCTGCGGAAACACCGCTCGCGAGATTGTCTACAGTCGACGCGACCACGAAGCTGCGAAATGGATGTTTGGTACGCCTGGCTGCCAGAGTGTAGGCCATGTCGTGAACGAAGCTGCCCTCCCGGTGCTGAGACTCCGCCGCGAATTGGGCGTATGCACTGGAGAGCCTCTTGATCCCAGCCTGGTCGTGCGCTGAGAGAGCAAGGACCTTGGGGCGTCCATGGACGCTTCCAAGCTGTTTACTTCCGTCCCGATGGTTGCGCACGTCGCTGATTCCGCTGTCTCCGCTTTCAGATGAAGTAGATGTGCCTCCGTCAACAGACACGGCCGTCTGGTGGTTACCAACCAGGTTGCGGGACTCCAGATAGTGATGAGCGTCGTCCAAGATGACGTGGGCGTTGGCGCCCCCGAAACCGAATGAGTTGACGCTCGCCCGGCGTAGCCCCGGGACTGGCCATGGCATCGTCTCGAGTGGCAAGGTGAGACCCCATTCATCGAGTCGGAGCTTCGGGTTTAACTTCTCGAAACCGGCGTTGGCGGGTATATACCCCTTTTCTACGGCCAGGATCGCCTTAACGACGCCAGCTAGGCCGGCACTACCTTCAGTATGGCCGATATTGGTCTTGACGCTGCCTACGTGCAGGGGAGTCCGGGTCCCTCTTCTCGAGGGGCCAAATATGGCTCCAACGGCGCCCAACTCCAAAGGGTCCTATCTCCAAGGTTATGTGATGCGACCAAGAAAAGATTGGGATGAACTAACTCCAAGGGGTGTTCCTGTGCCATGGGCCTCAAAATAGCCCGTGTTGTCATACGAGAGCCCTGCGGCAGCATACGTAGACCGTATTAGCGCGGCTTGGGCGTCGCTGCTGGGCATCGTGATCCCCGGTGTGTGACCGTCCTGGTTAACGCCGGTGCCCCTGACCACAGCTCGAATAGTGTCGCCGTCGGCAAGAGCATCCTCTAGGCGCTTGACGACGATGGTGGTGATGGCTTCGCCTCGTGCATAGCCGTTCGCCCGGGCATCAAATGAGTGGCTGATACCATCAGGACTCAACATGTGCATTGCAGATAGCTGAGAGATGAAGTTTGGATGAAGAATCATATTGGCACCACCGACCAACGCCTATGCAAATGGTCAATAAGTCATCCACTAGCACGGAATATCGCGCCTATTGTTTGTTGACCGATTCTGGGAAGTGGGTTAGGATAAGGGGGCCTTGACCGTACCTGTCTCGACTCTCCCGTCCGGAGAGATTGGCAAGCCAGATGGAACGCGTATAAACTGGATGAACAAGCAGTGTCCAACGCGAGGCTAGCGCCATGCAGATCGAAGAACCATGAAATGCGGTTTGCCAACATAGCCCGGCTAGTTCCGGAAGCAGCATTTTGTGGAAGGTTGTAGATATCGGTTTGGGAGACCAGTTCATAGTCGTTTGTCATTACACCGATGTAAACTGATGTGTCACTACCGGCCAGTTTTTCCATGGGAATGCCGGCTAGAACGCGGCCGTCAGCAACCGTATCCTTCTCTTAATCGTCTCTAATGGAAAATCCGTACCGTTTTCGAACCCTTCATAGGCTACTTCAAGCAGTTTCCTTTGCATTGGGTCCTAAGAGACCTTGTCAGACAATCATTTGAGTGAGGGCGTCAAGGGCAAGGCATTTACCATGCCGGCGGCCTCCTTGGCGGTAATAGAGAAGAATGGCGCATCAAGAACAGCTGGGTCCTCGTCGAGGAAGAAACCGCTGTCAGGCTGGATCTACAGATACGTCCTATCAGTAACCGCAGTTTTTCGAAAGGCAGACCGCCAGAGCAATGCATTTATTCTACTTACAGCTCCCTTTCTCTCGTGACTGGGATGTCGCCATGCTTTAGCATTGAAACGGTCTTCGGGAACCTCTCCATGGCCCTTTCTGGCGTTGTTGAGAAGTTCCCAAAAGCTTTCCGGGGTGGAGACGCTTCCTGGAAAACGACAGGCCATGCCTATGATGGCAATTGGCTCCAAGGCGTCCGCACCATCGACCCTGCCTACGACGTTGTTCTGCGCCATCTGCGGTTCTCGTAAAAGGCCTGCGTTGAGGTTTCCACCTGCGCTAGGATGCAATGTAGAGAGTGTGTTTTTTCTGATAGAACTATACAAGTCGCGCGAGCAGGATCAGGGGCTGCGGTCTATACAGTCTGAACTCAACGATGGAAGTGTCTCTGGCCCAGGTGTAGAGGAAGTGTCCTATTAGTGTAGTAGTGCAAAGTCTTTTGGATCGCAGAAATTGATACCATGTACCTGGGTACCGTACTTTGGCAAAATCAACATTTCCATATCGTGTATGATAAGCTTACCAATCCCAAATGTGTCGGCGCGCATATGCGTCATGCTTACAGGCGGCTGTTTTGAAAGTAAAATGCCCCGAGACACTAAGAGCGAGAACCAAAGAAACCCCCGACCAGAAGAAAGGTCAGTTCCGGAAATTCATCAGATTCGGAGCTCTTAATCAAGTCGCTTTGACATGGAATCTAAGTCTAGGGCTAATTTCTGGGCGCAGAACTTCCCCTGCCCGCCTTCCTCGTTTCCACATTCACCGTTACGGCATCGAGTACTAAACTAAAGCCTTCCATAGGTTAATCCATCAACCCTTTCACAGCTTCAACATAGTTGCATATATTGTGCTTTGATGAATTGGCTGTCAATCACGTGTTGACTGAGTTTGACTTACTTTTTCTTTGATAAAAGTACGTTTGTATAATCTCGAAATAGAATAAAATCAAAAGAGAGTCTGAAGTCGAACGAACTGAAGTTATCTAGCAAGTGACGGGATAATTTGGCTGCATTGTTCTTTTTCAATGACGTCTCCCACACGTTATGTTAGATCTGGTTGCAGACGTCTTCTTAAAATACGAGTAAGTTTGCAGAACAGGCATCAGTCGCTTAGCGAAGACTTAAAAAAAGTGTGAAATAGAATGAGCTTCGTATTGAATTTCTATCCAGCTGCCTTATTGATTGAATGAGATTCGTAGACTACCAGTTCTTCTATCCTGTGAAATGAGCTAGGCCGAGAGATCTTCCAACCATCATATGCCTTTTATTATCTGTGTCAAGGTATTTCTAGATACATACATCGAAGTCTTTTTTATCCAATCTCCTTCCATAATCGCAAAGATTTGCAAAGTCGCGAAATGGGCGTCATCGCTAAAGCTTTTCAACAAGCGCCGGCAATCAAGCTATCAAAGCCCAACCCATCGACTCCAGAAACTTAAGTATCTTCTTGGATTTCTTCTCATAGATAGGCCTTGTACCTATTGCTCTTGGCGTTACTTATCAGTCGATTAATGGGCATCCTTAATACACATGACAACCTCATCTCTATGACTCATGACTAGTAACAAAATTCAATAAATGCATTCGGGCCAATGCATCCTACACCATTCAAGAAAATCGGCATCAACTCTGGAGATCTTGCCGATATCCTTCCCATGCCCCCAACAAGAAAACCAATAGCCGAGGGGCCCTGAAGATAATGCTTATCTTCGCATCCTTTCTTTGGCACATGGCCCGCGTATCAAAGCTATTGATGGAAGCATTTCATATCTTCGACACCAAGGCTCATTCTATTTGCCCAGAACAACCTTCAGAACGCTGAAAGGAAGAATCGCGTCCTGCTCTCCTCGATTGTTTGCCGAAACCGGATATGCGTAGAATGGCGTACACCAAAACATCCATGCAAAAACCCAGACGTAACCAAACATCTTGGTGGACCACGTGTCGCGAGCCGAAGCCGGCGCAACCTGCTTCCAAACGTACTGGAAGACGTCTTCGAGGACGAAGCCGAGAGCCTGTACAAGGAAGAACCAAGGTGACCCGGTACGAGAAACTGGAATACCCGAGGCTATGTCACCCGTGGCATGCTGGAAAGTGGACATAGTGAAGGTGAGGACCACGACAGCGTAGCGTGCAAGGAGGGTTCCCCGCGGCAGGCGAAGGACGTCCTTGGCAATCCAGTTGGCTGGAGAGTTAATGCGCTTTCGAACGGACTGGTGCCAGAAGACACTAAGGCGGACATCAGTGATACTTCTCTCGATATGGAGATGGTGCCCTTCTGGAGGGGGAATAAACAACTTACCCCCAGTAACGGCGCAGTGTGAAGGCCTCGAAGATAGAGTTGAACGGCGGTCGCCACCACTCGACGCCAGACACGCCGGTCGCGACACATATGATACCCGGGATGTCGAAGAAGAGGATAAGAACCAAGTAGTTGACGAGCCAGAACGAGAAAGAAGTAAATGTCCGCATGATAGCTTCCTCTAGTGTCAGCTGCGACAGCCGCCGTAGCAGCGGTATCTTGTCGTCAGCGAAGACGGATCGCATGGCTGCAGGATCATTGAACGAAGTCATGGCATCCAGGATCAGATAGACAACCACCACCCTGATGGCGGCATTGCGGATGTACTTGGCCTTCGACGGCACGTATTTGGGGTCCTTCTTGTCAAAAGGTCCAAGGTTCGGCACCTCAAAGGGAGTTCCGCTACAGCGGTACGAAGAGGCGGCGTATATTCCGAAGCCTAAGCGGTTCCAGAAAGTCGCGCGCTCACGCCACGGCTTTGTCTCCCTCTTTTCCGTGGCCTTGGGCTGCGGGCCGCCGTATTCAAAGTCCCAGTTGCTAAGAAGTGCGACATCCCAGTATTGAAGAAATGTCAGCCAGGCGTCTGAGGCACCAAAGCTCATGTGAAAGCCATTGTTTAGGACATGAGCTGTGGCGACAAAACGAAATACCGTAAACAAAGCGAGTGGCCACAAGGCCAGTCGAATCAACGATCCCCGACGCGTGAAGCCCACGGCAAAGATGATCAGACTAGTCTGGTAGACCAAGAGTGACCAGGGATGGAGGTACCACTGGATATTCGTCATTTTTACTGGACAACTGTGTAGGGCGGCAAAAGAGGACTGGGGGTGTTGGAAATTGGTCGAAAAGTGCGATAGCTCTGTATGTTCTGGTTGAATCTTCAACTAAAGGCGCCTTGCTCCCCTTTTCTTGCTATTCAAATCCAACACGATCGCGAATTGAAGTGAAAATTGAGAAAGCTTCCGATGTACCTAGCGTACGTCTGGGGATTCCCATCGCCGACTGGCCCGGTGTTGCATCTCGGAAATGCCCGATGTGTCAGCTTCGCGGAAAGTCCCCGGTCCCTGACCACCAAGATATACGACATCACCCGGGAACAATACGTACTGCACCTGAACTCACCTCATTGTGTCCAAATATTCGATGTCTTCGGCCAAAGCCCCTTCGACTGGACTGCCATATCGACCAGTTTAGGAGGATACCCATTTGGCAGGCTTTACACAATGGATCTCGAAGACATCAAAATCAATGGTATTCTCAGCCCCCAACCCATTATTTTGGCCCTGATCCTAGGTTACTTGGTCTACATAACTGGCCTTATCATATACCGGCTCCATTTCAGCCCGATTGCGAATGTTCCGGGGTCCAAGCTGGCGGGGGCAACTGGTTGGTATGAGACGTACTTGGATGTGTTCAAGGGAGGGCAGTTCACCTTTCAGATCGAAGAATGGCACCGTCAATACGGTAATACGCCTTGCTAACGGTGTATTGGAAATTGAGACTCGGGACACTGACTCCCCGAGCAGGTCCAATTGTCCGAATCACGCCTTGGGAAGTTCACATCGCCGACCCAGACTTTTACGAGGTTCTCTTCAACAACAAAACCAGGTACAGCAAGATCGAGAAGCTCCGATACCGGTTCGGGCTGCACTTGTCATCTTTTGACACCATCGACCATGCCCACCACCACCTCCGCCGCTCCGCTATCTCGCCTTTCTTTGCCAAGCAAAAGGTTGCGGGGTTCAGCCCGCAGATACAGTCCATGGCCGACAAGATGGTCGACCGTTTGGCGACCGAGTATAGCGACAAAGTAAAGCCCGTCAATATGAATGAGGCATACGCGGCTTTCGTGTCGGATGCAATCAATTACTACACATTTGCCATCTCGTACAATTTTATAGACTATCCTGATTTTGTCACGCCATTCACGACCTCAATCAGGAAGCTGGCCATGTCTCTCCACATGGCAGGCCATTTTCCCTGGCTTCTGACGATGCTTCAAACGCTACCGGAGTCGGTCACCCAGATTCTAAACCCGTTGATGGTCCCCGTCTTCCGTTTTCACAATGTGAGTACAGTGCCACTGGGATGTAGTATGAATCAGTTTCTCTGACCAGTGGACTCCCAACACCAGGAAGTCAAAGAACAAATCATTAAGGTCATTTCAGGGCAGAACACCTCGAACAAAGTTGTTAAACATCGTACTGTGTTCCACGAACTCCTGCAGTCAAATTTACCGCCCGAGGAGCTGTCCGTCGAGCGCCTGAAGCACGAGGCGGCTAGTATCACAGGCGCAGGCATTGACACGACCAAAACCACGTTGGCGCTCGCGACGTTTCATATACTGGACAATCCTAGCGTCTTCGAGAGACTGCGCGAAGAGTTGAAGACTCATATCCCCCGCGCCAATGAGCCCATGCCGCCGCTGCACGAACTTGAGAGTCTTCCTTTTCTCAATGCAGTCGTTCAGGAATGTGAGTATGCTCCAATTCTCTTGAATCGCGGTACCGCTTCTTGGCGGGCCTTAGTGAGATTGTAAGCTGAGTCTATATGTTCCTGTAGCTTTGCGACTGGCGTTCGGCATCACGCAGCGCCTTTCCCGCATCAGCCCCGACAGCCCCATCACCTACGAGTCGTACGTGATCCCACCCAACGTACCTTTCAGCATGACTTCGTATATACAACATCGCGATCCCAAAATATTTCCCGATCCCGACGTCTTTCGCCCTGAGAGGTGGTTGGAGAACCAAAAGACGGCGTCCGGTAAACCATTGTCGCGGTATCTGGTTCCCTTCGGCAAGGGGCCGCGAATGTGCCTAGGGATGAACTTCGCCATGGCAGAGCTGTATATCGGGCTGGCAACGGTGTTCCGTAGGCTGGATATCGAGCTCTACGAGACTGGCAGGGATGCTGTTGACATGGCGGCTGATTATTTCGTGCCCATCCCAAAGGAGGGGACGCAAGGCGTCAGGGTTATGGTAATTGGGACCAGTGCGTAGATGGAACTGTACAAGGTTCAATTGTAGAAGAGTACGCACCTCAAAGGTTGCTGCACATGGAGCCAGGTTTATCGTTGCGAATCAAGAAACACACGGATCTCCGTCAACAACTTGCTTTGTGCCTTGACCGATCTCGACTATATATTACCACCTTTGCTTCATGTTACTCCAGTTGTAATTATTCATGCTAAATCACTTTCCTCCAGATTCACTAATAAGGTTATCAAGATGTGCGTACTGTGGAATGCTGGCACTACTCGTGATCAGTGGTCCAGATGATCGTGCAACAGAGGCTTGGCCGCGTATAAATGCTGAAACCTTGAGATGCCACCAAATTGACAGGAATGACAGCTCAAGAACTCTTGTATAGTATACCGTTTTCCCCGCCACTACCGCATCACCACACAACCTCTACTGGGATGAAGGCACCGACGTATCGTCTAAAGGCACATGTT